GCTTTCATTCGTTTTAACAAGGTTTTCATTCTTTTCCTTGCTGTTACAATCGCTCTCATAGCTTTTATCACCAAAAGTGTTCTCTTCTGCTAATTTCTCATTCATTTCACTCAACAATCAAAGTCAAATTCTCATTCTATCTAATACATTCTATAACTGATCATTTGACTCTTGAAATTGTTGTGCAATAATATTCGATTGTTGTAATGTTGACTTCGACTGTCAACACTCGTCAACGTATCCAGTAAACAGTGTATGCTACAGAATGAGAAATTGATTCGAAGTGTGAAATGAAACGAGACGAAGTGAATGATAAAAAGTCATGAAGAGAACTGTATTCGCATGTGATAGCTATGAGAGTGAATACAACACGTCTGAAAAGAATGAGAATCCATCTGAATCAGTTTGAAGTGAGCGTGTCAGAGACAATAGCTTTTCATGCAATCATAATCGATTGTAATACTGACAATAAAGAACATAAGCATCTAAGGGAAGGCCCAGCGATGTCGATTTTCATCATGAGCATGCTAATAAGATTGAACTTAACGGTCATTTGAATATAATATATGCGATTTCCATAATTAATAGTGGAATTGGTAAGGGCGGCCTGCCAGATCATCAAAAAGGGTAATGGCGCACCCGAACGTGAGAAGCACTGCTGGGTTAAGAAGTACAGTAGAACACCTCTAAAAATTCATGCAAAACTTTTGTCTTTCGCAACACTTCACTCGATAAAACAAAATTGAAGAGTCTTTGAATGGCGTCAATTCGTTCGGCTATCACTGTCGGTTCACAATTGCCGAACATTCTTGCACACGCAAATGTTGGGAAGCTGGGACGCAAGTATAACTGAAAAAGCCAAACTTATAATCATTTGTGGTTTGCCGAAGAAGATTGATAAAGGAATTGATCAAATATGCAGAAAAAATTATGTTAACTGTCATATAGTGAGTGCTATACAATTATTGTCAGCTCGTAGTATTGCGCTCGAATCAGAAAAGCGTAGGTATGAAGTAAAAATAAATAAAGAACTTAACTGCTGGTGAATTTTTGCAAGTTGAGCATGAAGATGATTCAACTCACTAAAACGACTCCATATGGAAAACGATCGAGGATCCAAGTCGAGACTATTTCGAGGTATTGCCTACAAAAAAGACAACTTAGCTCGTCGCGCCGTTTATCATTTCTTTTGAATGATGATCAATTTGAGAATTTCTCGTCAATTCAAGAGGATCCTCAAAATAAGTGTACTTTTTGAGCAATATCAAACAACAAATGCTATGATAACAGATTCAGCTGAGTTAACATAACAGATCGATTGAGTCTTCCAAAATTTCTCTAAAATTTGCAAAACAAATTCAGTGATGAGACAACAAATCGAATGAATTCCATGCCGTACAGTTATGAGGATTTGATACTGAGTATAGTGAGTAATGAGTGATTTTCCTTGTCCAATATTACAGATTCTTGCTTGGAAACTCCAATCGCCAGCTGGTTGGAACAGAAGACGATTCAACGCATTTTGCGATATACACTCATCAATTAGGACCGACATTCTCAGATAGCAGTCACCTTTATCGCATCGCTGCAAATAGACTGTTCCTTTAAGATAATCACCACAAACGAACATATCCAACCTAATTACGAAGTAAGAGCTGAGACATGTCAGTTGGAAACAATAAACACGGAGGTGCTTCCCATTTGCTAAACCTGATCCAGAAAGATCGAGTTTAATAAGCAAAAAATTAACGAACTGCTTATGATGACAAGAAATGTTTAAGTTTTAGATGAGGACTTTTTATGAAGATTTATCTTAGACGGTGATTGTTAGGTTTAAGAAAGTAAAATTTGCAATTTGAAGAATTTGGAGAATGCAATGGTGATTGTTTAAAATCTGAGAAGTTTACGGCACTTGTGCATATCTTCAGGATGGTGAGTCGATTGCTGTGGAAGGAACTGAAGTGAAAAAGAAACAAATTTGAAGAAGATAAAAGAATTGGATCGTTCTCATGGATATTGGGCCATCGTGCTGATAATGAATAATATTCAAAGAAATGCAAATTGAAATAATATCGACGAATTTATTTCTTCTCTTCAATCAATCGAGAAATATTACATGATAGCGCATAAAACCGCAAAATTGTCGAATTGAAATGCAAAAAAAACTTGTTGTCGCCATATTTTGAGTCTATAGGCGAAATGTTTATTTTCAAGAAATCAAATGTTCAGCAAGATTTTAACGAAATCTCAACAAATCACACTTAACAACGACTAGCTTCAATGACCATTTGATTTTGCCCAATACACAATAATCCCTCAATCGGTGATTCTGTTCGTTAACAATTTCAACTGAATACAATCCTGTTGAAAATTTCATTTCTTGAAAATACACTCGTACATTTTGTGCACGCTTGCAAACTTTAACACCGACAACAACACCAACACTGCATTATTATCGTTGAGATTAGACGTTTCAGAAAAATTCTAATAATAAGACGAATTTACTTGAATCAAAGAAATATTCTGACTCGATATATCTCGTCGTTCATATTGCACAATCTAAAGATGTAATGTTCAACTTGTCTTCTAACCCCCCCCCGTTCATCGAAAGGAATGCAGATTTGTCTTAGTACCACTCAAAGATGATACAAATATCAGAACAGAAAAAATTATGGCGTAAGTGATATTCTTATAGCATAATATGAGAAATATATGTATAGCGGTAATAATGATAACAACAAAAACAATAATAATAATAATTACAACAGTAACGATAGTTATATTAATAGCAATAAGATATCAATATAACAAGATGATATTCTTCATCAATACAATGCTCATGGTAATAAGTGAATACAATTCAAAAGGCTATGCATGAATGAAGTAAGGCAGCGATATGGAATTACAGAAACGGTTTGGGAACAAGTGAAACGTCCAAGAAATTAAATCTGATCAAGCAAAATAACTGCTGACATAATTGACACAGTACAAGATGATCTACTAGACAAAAAGATCTCTATCATGCAACTGTACGGAAATATGATGCAATAAGAATTCGGTGAACTAGCAAAAAATAGCGCAAAATACAATTATTAATGTGATCAAACGATCAAATGAACGATCAAAACGATCGAAATTAAACTCATCAAAATGATTGACAAACACAAATATGAACATATCTAAGTATTTGAATGAATTTCATCATTTTCATCACACTCGCACAACTCTTCAATCAATTAGCATTGACATAACAAGCAAAAACAGTGCGAACGGAAACGGGAGCATTGTGGCCAGCAACGTTACAAACGTTTGATAGTCTGGCCAATCCAGGTAATCCAGGTAATAACAAGCAATCAAATAAAATTTGCACATTTATATAAAATTCGCAAAATTTGCACCAATAATCAAAGTTTCAGCATCAAATAAACTTTGCACATTCGAACAGAATTTGTTCAATCGACGATGATCAACGAAATAAATAATAAAAACCAAAATAAGACTTCAAAAAACAACAACATAAAAATGACCACAATCTAAGAAATAATCCCTCTCTCTCTACGTCAAAAACAATAAACTTATGAAAACAACTCCTCAGGATCAATCAGTACAATCGCGTCTCAAAACTGCTTAAAGGCCTCAACAAACCGTACTAAAATTGATTTTTTCCATCTAATAATAAGACAGTCACTCTTATGTTATCAATTTTAAATTTTTACGTTTAGCGTTATCAGTTCATCAAAAGTATTCTCACTGATAACAAATATAAGTGCATATTCGTCATCATTACCCGGTTATGATCAACTCATACAGCTAATTTCTACTCTCTGTTCGTAAACGAAGATAAATCTGAGATAAGATAAGAAAGATCCCTCAAGCCTTGCCAATGGAATCGCATAGCAAACTTCATTCAACTGATCAATCAAGTTAATCCTTTACCTTTATCTCCAAATAGTTTCATTCTTTCGAAAAGAAACAGCGATGTACCTCTTCCTCAACACATGCAGAATAGCAACTCATAATGACAGAGTAAGTACCGAATGAAGAACGTCACTATGAAGGAAACAATGTAAAACAATGCGAAAATTTCAAACAAAAATGGACAGATAAGTTTTTTGAAGAAGATGACAAAGAAAATCAAAATCGGAAATACATTAATGTACAGACATAAGAAATAATATGGTTGAGTAAGTGAGAATAAAGATCATTCGAAGGACCAACAGCTCTCGCATGCAATCAAACAAATCAATTATACAATATTCAATAAGTCAGATTCAGAACAAAAAATAAATAAATAAATGAGCAATAATTAAACAAAACACTCTTATAAAGAGTAGTACATTCAAAGTTCTCGTTCTAGCCTAAACATTTTCTTGCAATCTACAATAGACTACCACTGAAATGATTGAAACATTTCGAATTGGCATTACACAACATAAGATTTGATGCAAATTTTTTTGCATGCAAATTTTTTGTTCAAAACTTATTTGAATGGTATGAAAGTGGAAAGAAGTAATTTTGAGCTTTGTTTCGTGGAAGTGCTCATTGCTAATCGACAATGAGTATTCTTGAGATTCTCGAGTAATCCTCAGTTCAAAAAAATCAACATGACATAATTCAGAACCATCAAGGTCTAGAGAAATCGCTCGCCGACGGAATAAAAAATGTTCACTTACAGTTGCTGAAATAGCAGAACTGGGTATCGTACATAGAATTAAATGCTGAACGAACGTATGCTTTAAGCATCCTAATCATACACGAGCGACATAAATAAGTACACTAATAATCTAGTGAATGTTGAACAAAAATAAAAATCGATCGTCTTCAAATCAAACGCAATTTTTGTATGTAAGCAACAAGTGCTGAATGCACAAAACGATACTGATCCACCGTTTTGATTAAACACATTCGTTGTTGACGTAACCGATGCAACAAATCGCTGATATCCACTTTCTGAAAGTTTTCATTCTTTCAACAATTATCATTCGAATCATTTCCGAGGACCTTTCACATATGTTCACACATAAAACATTCCTTTCACATATAAAACGAATAGCTGTTTTGATTAATAAGTATGAGTCAAAGGATTACTTCATCGTCAAATAACTCAAGATGACGGTTCCTCAACCGAAATTCTCGAGAATGAATGTTCTCAAAATGCTTCTAGAAACCTTTGCTAGTGAGACATGAAATGCGCCTGTTGTTTGTTCTATACATAGATGAAAGCATCCCTTCACTGAAAAACTTCTTCGTAACTGAGCAGATGATGTTTTGCTCAAAGAATTGAAAGAATACGAAACGACGAACTGACCAAGTTGTGTTCAATGGCATGCATAAGAAGCTCAAGCAATAAATAAACACCGCTTTCATGCGCACCGCAAACACAGTGCAATACCAACGGTGAAATATTCGAATAGTCCACTGAGGGTTTCGGATTCGTCGAATCTGTTAGCGTAATCGTTGATTTCGATAATAGATTTGAGGATGTTGCTTGCGAGTCACTGTAATGTGGAATGGTTGCATTACTTCATCATTCTATAGGACATTTGACAATATAAAATTCTGTGCTGATTACCACGGAAAATCATGAGAAACCAACGTATAGATAGAGGCACATAATCACCAAGAGAACAGGGTGGGATGAATTACTTACGAGAGTGTCGAATGCGTTGAGAAGAGGAGATTTGTGATCGAGAGGTGCTTCTGAAAGACAGAAGACTTAAAGCCATTCTCACTATGAGTTGCTGCCACATCGTTCAGATTTACCTGCAAAAGTGCATTCAGTAATCAGCACTAAGAGTAAGAATATGCCTCTGTTCAAACATTTGATTGCGAATCTACCGATGAGGAAAGGAATGACAAAATGAGCAGAGAATCTTCATTCAGAAATTGAGAACGCTAATCAACCTTGCTGCTGGTTCGCGATTTCGTCGCACCATTCATAGCCGAATGCGACCTAGACGTACCAACAGATTCGGATTCCTTCAGCCGTTCGTTATCAACGTATCGTTTTACGCTGTTCACCGAATCGATAAAACCTGCAATTTTACTCATGCACGTCGTCTCGTCTGAAGAAATAAACGATGCAGCTGTCAAGAAATGAAAATTTCACAAGAATTCAGTATTTTTACTGAAACTCGTTCAATCAGTAAAATTTCACGTCTTCGACTCAAAATATCCAAAGCTGAAAACGTACTGATCTTATTACCAACATTTCGCCAATCTTCTTCAATGTCTCAAAGCCGGTAGGTATTTCATTGCAACTGATATCATTTATAAAACAAGTAATGATGAAAGTTTGCAATGAGTTCCGCACTAACCAAGTAAGGCATCTTCATTTTCAGGCACAGAGCCTGCTTTCCAGCCCATGAATCTCAAATGATAGATGGTGCGTTTCTCGCCACTTCCGAAGCATTTCATAGTGATACTTGAAGTGATCTGATGATGACTGCTCGTTGTTGAGTTAAGTGTCAGTAAGTAATCGTTGAATCGCATTTTGTTCTTCTTCTTTAATGGCCAATAACAAGGTACTGTGCTGTTGGTGCTGTTCGATTCCTTAACAAAACACTTAAGCTATCAGAAATCGCACGATCGTGAAAAATACAACGCTCTTAGTGAACCATTCCCATTATCTGAGGATATTGCAAAGCGACAACGTTCGAATTAACACAAATCGCAGACTTGGCTAATCCCAGCGAGTGCAAATTTTAAACTCATTGTCAGACTTCATATGAACAAAGGTCTTCTTTCATTTTAACATTTTCAAGAAGAGCAATTCACAACAGCTATCATCTTATCGTTAGGTTTTAACATGAACAAAAAATCAGATGGCTATTTGTTCATTAAAATTGCAATTGCAACGTTAAGACACCTACATCCACTTCACACAGCATCACTATAATCTGCGCACCAGTTTCCCAAATCATTCGCCAGAAATCCTCGATGCTTTCGTTCAACGGCGCTTGTGTGATAATATAGCGTAAGAAACGATCACCCATCAGAACCTAAACACGCACAATTATAAACTAAAACCGAAAACATTCGATAATTGCATCAAAAAATCAACTTCTCTGCTAAACATCGACACTACAAAACAGTCAATATTTGATCAGTCTGAAGTAAAATCTCGTTTGAATCAAGAGAATGATTGAGTAAATGATCCATCAATAATCAATAGTTACCTGAACGTTTGACGCATTAATATATCCAGTCGGATTGAGTTTATGAGGTTTCAACATAATACGAGTGTCTTCGTACGGTACCACCGATCGTGTACGATTTCGTTTCTGAAATATGCATCTTTGAATAATGCGAACAGTCAAACAACGTTCGGAATGAGGCGATGGAAATTTCTAGCTTTAGAAGAGAGAATAAATAAGTGAAGAAAATAAATGCGAACCATATTTTCCGGTTTTTGACTAGTTGAAACACCGGCTGACATCCGTTTGTTTGGAATCATCGTGAATTCTTCAGCTAACATATCCTCACTTTGCAACTTTTCCATTAACAATGATAACTGAAAAATTGAAAACGCTTTAAATCAACGATAGATTATGAATAAGAGCACATAAATGCGTGCAGTTGGTAACAACATGAAAGCTGATATCATTCAAGTTTCAATGATGCGGTCGTTACCGTTTGATCGTTATTCGGCATTGTTGATTCCTTGCCTGATGTCGATAGTTTATGATTATTGTTACTATTGATTTCTGGACGTGCACAATTATGGATATGACCGTTTTGATGCAAACGATCGAATCGGTTCAGTCTCGACTCACTTGTTCGTTCCTCATCAGTCACAGTGCGTTCATTATGCATCTCCTCTTGCGATGGCCAAATTGACTGTAACATTGACTGTAAAATTTCAAAGCATTCTCGTTGATCACGAAAAGCTGTTGATGAAGCATTCGAATGAGGGATGAGAAGAGTTGCTGATAGTTCAGAAATATAAACAAACAAAATACCCGAGCTGTAGGAAGAATCGAGTGTTGCTGCGTGCTTGACATGGCCGATAGGGTAGAGCAAACTGTGGTATCACTGGGTGGATGAATATTGCTTGAACGAGTGGAATCTATGGATCGTGACGAATCACTCACTCGTTTATTGCTAACACTTGTACGTTCCTCGTCGTATATTAGATCTCTACTCTTATGATGCCCTTCCAACAGGGGATTGTTACAGTCACATGCAATTCGACCCATATGCGGTAGCAGGTCTCTTAACAAGTTTAATATTCAAAAAGTTTTCATTCTTATAAATATTCGTGATCTGTTGAGCTTAGAATTTCTGATTGTCAACACCCTTTTAGATGTTTTCGTCAGATCTTGATGCAATCCGAATCCTTTCACTACGATACTGTTAAAAACCAATCCTCGCTTGGAATTTTTCATTTAAACTCTTCAGCTAATTCAATTCTGTGGAAAACCTGAAAACCCTCAAAACATTCGCTAAAGTTCTAACAATTTCACTCACAAAATCACAAATCAACAATAAGAAATGAGTTGAATGAATGAAAGAATGTACGATGCATTTATGTCATGAACACATATGAACCTTGAATACGCTGGATTCAATCTATCAGCGCCGCCGTCTTGCTTCATAGCCGTATTCGTCGTCGGTACAGTGATGAACTTGTTTCGATTTGACGAAACCGATAGATCCGATAAGGACAGTGACGACGAAACATTGGATGCTGCAGGCGGTATGAGCATGCCTTGAAGATGGCAGTGGGAATGACAGAACTGCTGACAGTGAGTCTGAGTGCTGATCGAAGCACATGCCGACGTTTGAGGGTCGGCAGTAGCGGAAGGATGAGGCTGGCAGGTTGATGAGCATGCCGCCGTGTATGGTAAACATGAACCGGTCTCGCCGGCCATAATAACTGCTGCTGATGATGTCGGAGCAGCCTCCAATATTGTTGTCGGAACGGTCACAAGACCACTGTTAGTGTTCTGAGCATTCAGTTGAATGTGGTGCTGACTAGTTTGACAGGAGTTTTTATGAGAGGATTGCGTAGACGGTGTTGGGAAAGGATTACTACTAGTTTTGGTGTTGCTGTTGTTTGTGCGATTATTACTATGGTTACTAGTCGTATTAGTAGTGGATTGTTGTTGGGTGGTATGGTGACGATAAGCACAGGCCGGTGGATAGTAAATATGACCAGCTTGAGCATGATAGGATGGAGAAGATGTAGTGATTGTGGCTTGCGGGATGCGATCTATTGAGACGGCTGCATGAGGACCACTGGTTGGTTTCGATGCAGGATAGCATGCATGCTCCCGTGTCAACAAACAACAACAACATTCCGGAGAATGATGCGATAATGTTTCAGGCATTGATGGGCCTGGCATCGCTGCCGCTTGTCCATTCAACGATGCCGGTGCATCACCGTAACCCGTTTTTCGATTGCCGCAAACAGTGGATGATGCTTGAATGGTGCTCGGTTGGGCAAGTGAAGCAATTTGCTGAGAATAGAGTGGATTGGTTAGCTGTTGCTGAGATGCAGCAACGGCTAGTTCATATCGCGATAGCACCGATGATATCAACTCTGAGGTTGATGCACGATGCGATGCACTCAACAGATCCGGACTACTCACCGCATGACCGTTACCCATCATCTAGAAACAACATCGCATGACGATCATTTCATAAGATCAACACATCACAATCAACAACAAAATATCGACTGCCTGTAGAATATTATGCCTAAAATCAGCCGATCTAGATTGATACATACTCGTCTCTACAGGTAAAGTCAATCAACTTGGTACAACTACAAGTTTTGTCGCTTTGCTGCATAAAACCTTCCTTACTTTTTATGCTGATTGCGAGAAATGAACGTAAATAATATCTCACGAATCAATAGAAGATATGAATTGAGCAACAATATCTAGATAACACAAAGTACGAACTTGATTCTGATTGCCCAGGTTAGAGGCGCCATCAGTGTGCTTAGAATTTGCCGAATGTTTGTGTACAGCCAATGGGGTGTAGCGTCGTTGAGTGACTCCAATCATTCGAATTTCTGGCGATGAACCTGATGTCTGCAATCATTTGCACCAATTATATGAGCAAATTATTTTGTACGGTTGAGGTATTCATCTTGAACATTTTGTCAACACATAACTATTGTATATCACCTACAGACGTCCATGTCTTCATAGAATCTCGCAGATATCATTTGATATCTGCTGAACTATCACTTGTGAGATATGGATGTGTTCGCAGTCAATATCATTTCATCAATCCACTCACAAGAGCCGTTGATGACAGATGTCGTCGTTTCTTTTGCGAAGCCAAAACGTTGTTGGCACACTGTTGTTGTGTGCAGTGAAACTGGTGTTGTTGGATGGCATTCGCACACTGCTTTACACAAGCTGTCTCATCCTTCATCATCAGTCTTCTCGTCGTTTTCATGTCATCCTATCAAATTCTCGCATTCAAATTCTCATAATGGTCATAAACTAAAAGTTCAACTAAAGAACACACACAAATTTGTTGTTCACATTCAATTGGAGGAAAAGCACCATCCGATCTGAATAATATAACCGTCAAATCGTTTGCGACGTTGTATGAAAGAAAAATGCTAACAGCATCTGAGATACTGGAAAAATTTTATCAAGTGGCGAGAAATGAGGGTTAGCAAGATGAAACCGGTCTCAGTTGAATGAAATTCAAGGAAAACTCGAACCAAATGTGGTGCAGCTCCAGCCACGACTCCAGCATTGTTAATGCAGTTAGCATAATGATGATGGTGAAGTTGTTGTTGTTGTTGCTGATACGGTGGCGGATAAAAAGGTGGCGAGTAGCCATTATTAGCATCGGTATTTTCGTCTTGTTGTTGCATAGCAGTGGCCGCCAATCCTCTAACGCCCGCTATTCCTCCAACATTTTGCTCGAGCTGATTCAAGCTCGACGATATCGCACCACTTGCACAAAGTTGAGGAAAACAGTTCAAGCTCGCAGCATTACTTTCAGCTTCTAAACATGCATTGAGCTGTTGCATTTGTGCCTCTATATCAACTAATCCGCCGAACTGTTGCTTTGTTGATAGCATATTGTTGCTACTTCCAGCTAAACTGGCGCTTGCAGTTGATGGTGTGGTCGCAGTGGTGGTTGTGGCTGTTGTATTCGAACGATTACGCTCACTCGAAGCAGCTATATTCGCTAGACCATCTGAATACGAACAAATTGGTTCAACTAGAGTCATTCTTCAGCAATTCACTGCAATTGTCTGATCTGACTTCTATACGAGACAAATAGATCAAATTTGCGTCCTAAATCATGGAATAATGAGAACACTCAACAAATTCAGTTTTCATGTGGATTCATTTCAGTTCTGGGAACTAATATCCTGATTTCTGAAGAGGAATTCCTTCAACCTTGTTAAAAAAGTTCATGTGAATCGAGATGAAAATGATTTGGAAAATCGCTCACTTACATTCTTTCTCACTCATTCGCTTACATCTAATTTGTTAGATGAAGAGTCTTAAATGTCACTGTTGCAAAACAATCTGAATTGATCTTAACGTGCGATCAAGATGATGAGCTGCTGTAAACTGACTAGAACAGCGATAATTTGCGAGTGGAAATGCGGTCGGTGTAGAGTATTTGCGTTTCTGACCGCTGTTACTCTGCAGTGGATTTCGACAGAGTTCATGCAGTTGCTGAGTGGATGTTGAGGTGCACGGTGCGTTGTTCAGATCTGGTGCTGTTGTTGGTGTTGCGGCTAGTGCGGATGATGGTATCGAGTACATGTTGAACATCGATGAACACACTGCATGCTCATCATTCAAACGGGCATTACTGTACTGAAATGATCTTCATTCACATTGTAATTGCCCACGGAAATAGTTCAATGTGAATCATGCATCCATCAATATCTCTCTAAACTTCGATGGATACGAAGAGAAAGAAATAGCAAAAAGAGAATTTGATATATTGATTTCATTTGAGTTACTAATCTGTCAATGAAGAGAATTTTCGAAAGAATACTCGTTGACTAAATATTTCCATTGAAATCATCGCACTTCTTTAGAATTTGAACGAAAACCACGGAGAGTTGACATGAATGATTGAGTTTTACACTGTTCAACGAAGAAAATTCGAAGGCAAACCTCAAAATTAGCTGATTTCAAAATATGTTGACTGAACGTTCGAATGCTACCTTGAAGATTGTTGATACTGAAAACCCAATTAATTTGCTGATTGAATTATTGATTTATGTGGACTTAGTAGATGATCAAATTGATCAATAAGTAGCAGTAATAATGGAAAGTTATTTGTTGGCATCAAGAAAAACGGTCAAAATTGCAGCCAATCAGTTAACAAACTCAATCAATTCAACAACGGTAATATTCAGAGTGCGTTACTCACTTCATTGGGCAATTCCTTTGGATTATCGCTTCATTCGTAGCATAATGGAATTGCCAATTCAATACCATTGCAACATAACGAGACATTTCGGCATCTTCCTTCAACCAACCAGATCAGTGAACAAATCGATAAACAGTTAATAAATAAATACAATAATAATAATAATAATAATAACAATCACAGCATAAGTGAATGAACTACCATGGTAAATTGAACGATAGTTCCATCATTACACCGCAGATTCAGATGCCTTTTCGAACACTGAATATCTTTTATATCCTTCCATCTGTAAGAGAATTTCTTGAAATCGTATCGCAAATAACACTACTCCTAATAGTTATACCACTAATAATAACAAAGTCTTTTGAACAAAATATTCATGGGTGAACAAGACATGATTCAAAAAAATTACTTATGTTTCAAAGGAGCACCGTACGATCCTTTTACGATTACACCTTCCTGAGAATAGCCAACCTTCACCTCACTGCTATCCTCATCCTGAAATATTCGTTCCACCATAGCTTTTACCCCTCAATTACTTGATATTTTATTTATTGGTCAGTGCTCACCAGTTACCGCCTTCAACTTTTCGAAAGATAACCACTTCAACTATCTCACAGAGATTCTTTGTGTAAAAATATCTCCACCAGATGGTTTCTTTCGAGTGAGCAAACAAGATACATTCTATGGGTGTGAATAGCTGATTAAGTATGTGCAAAGCGATATTTTCTGTAAGAAACGGAAAGTTTCTAAGGATTGTATCGCGACGAAGCACGAACGATGCGATTTGTCAAGGGGATAAGATCTCTGAACAAAAGTGCTCTATGAATCAATCTTTTGTTTCATACATTAGCTGTTTACGTATAAGATGAGGTGTGTATCAGGATATAAGATATGCATGATGAAATGGATTTTTTGTATGTACTGTTGGATGATCATCTTATTCCTTTGTGCTTGGATGATCAACTTTTCCATTTGTGCCTGTATGATCAGCTTACACTGACTTATTGATTCGCGTGATGAAATGATGATGAATTGGAACTTTTGTGTGTACTGCTTGGATGCCTTTATCCCTTTGTGCTTCTATGATATTAATCCTTTGCGTTTCGATAATACTATCGAGTGTTATTGCAAATAAACTCCGACAGATCGCGACTACTAACTTTTCCGTTGAAGTACTCTTCACCATATCCTTCACATTGTTGAGCGTCAACAATATAGAGCAAAGCGGCATAGCTGGGTTGCATACCTCGTAGACGTTCATGCACCACCGAGACGCGCTTTAGCAGATCCTCAAGAATTTGTGCACTTCGACAAATATGCTGAAACAACAGTTTTGCATTTGATAGTAATTAGATATTCGTTCAAATTTTCGTTCTCATTACAACAGCGATGGCTGAAGGAGACCGATAAAATCTGCTCTGTTATCACATATACGGTACAAATCCATATTCAAATCTGATCCAGCATTCCGTGTGCATACAATAGAGAGCAAAGGTGAAATATGGCAAACCTTAGGCAGTAAAGGAATGGTTTGCATGAAATCGACCGTATGTATTGAAGGATCAAAATCGCCATATTCCACTAAAATTAGATACATATATCACTGAATATGAGGAAACAATATTGAGAGTGCGACTCATGGGATTTATTCAAAATTTATGGATGAATTCATCATTTAATCGAAGTTTGGCTTAGCGACTTTGAAAGCATATGTTCTCTTTCATTTGTTGAATGGCTCATCAGTTTATTTGATTGAACACCTTGTAAACTATAAGCAGCCAAATTGATGTATTTCTCCAAAGCAACCGTCAGACGTCCTTCGACCACGTCCATTTTCATCAGCAGGAAGTAGTAAGACCTGAAAGGAAGCGTTTGCGGCAACTGATGAATCTATCTTCGCTTAACGAATTTCAGTAGCGATATATTGCTACCTCGCCATTTGATCGGTAAGAGTGAACGCATTCGGAGTATGGTACAAAACAGCCAGCTGCACTTGTCTCGGTTTACAAGCCCACCGTTCCAGTTGTCTCCGTAACGGTTTCTCCAACTCAACCCAACGCATCATTCGCTTATCCGGATCATTCGTTTTCATTTGATAACGAAATCCGAACATTTCCACCTGCAATTGCCAGTTATTTCTTAAGATTATTTATGAAGGCGATTATTTCATATGAATTCTCCAATGGATACCAAAAATATCAATTTCCAAATACATTTGAAATGGTAATTTCTATTGCTTCCGTGCAATTTATTTCTACGATCACTGCAAATATTACAGTGAAACGGTCATAATTTAATACTGATTTTATCAGTATCGTTGAAGACGACTGATATAAATGATAACATAATGCCATTCAGATGATACCACTTCAGGTAGAACAATAAAGGCGACAACCCAGTTTACAACAAAAGAGTTTAAAAAGAGCACTTGAGTGCCTCATAAGAACAAACATTCTATTGCTGATAGACGATTCGATAAGCCTGATAAAGTCATAACTATGAAGGTATGCTTCATCCGGGTAGAGATTGAAAGAAGAAGATCGAATAACCTGATGAAGATCAACTTTTTGACTTAAGTATTCCATACATTGTTTGGCCGTACTCTCTGTGGTCAGCGTACATTGCAAGATTGCATGATCGCCCACGAATATGGTCAACACGTAGACATCTTGACTTAAATCATAACGACCACTTTTCTTGCCCCATTTCAATTTCAATGGCATACGCAACATACTCCTGAAATCATTGTCGCTCACTGAGACAGAGGTACATTTCCATATAAACTGTGGATTTCGATAGGAAACAACAATTGTATAAAAATGAGAGAGGTACAGATGAAGACACTTATAATGAGTTATGACAGGTTCTTATTAAACATTCAAGAAAAAATTCAATTAATTAAGAAAATAGAAGTTCAA